AAAGTAATTGAAAGAGTTCTTTGATGTGTTGAGTCAACTCTTGATGCTCTTGTGTCGCACTTGATCCATGGTTTTTCAAAGGTTAAATATTGTTAATAACTCATGTGTGTCGAGGCCAATTGTTAGTCCCAATTGATGCTAGTTGAGGTTTCTTTAGGAAAGCTGAAAAATTTCTTGGATTTTCCCTTAAGGGGTGGGTCTTATTTTATTTGCTTGAGGACAAGCAAAACCTTTAGTTTGGGGGAGTTGATAACTAGGGATTTTGACGTGTTTCATGCTCCTTCTTGCTTACGCTTTGATTATAAATTCTTACAAAATAGTCCCAAAAGGCTCATAAGTTGTGCTTGATTGCAGGTTTGATCAACAAAGCGACGAGATGTCAAAGATCTGCTCAAAAGGAGTGAAACCTGCACAAGTACCAAAGACAAGACAACTCAGGACAAACAGGCCTAGTGCGGCCACACTACACTTTGTGCGGTCCGCACTAGGGAGATTCAGAGACCTGGGTTTTAAGGCATCAAAGCAGTGCGACCGCAGTAGATATTGTGCGGCCCGCACTGAAGACACCGCGGTCGCACTACCATTTTATGCGGTCTGCGGAAGCAAACTTCAGAGAGATGTCAAGTGCCAAGGTTCAAGCCTGTGCGGTCCGCGGTCGTGTTTGTGCGGACCGCGCTAGATGCCACGGCGGCCGCAGTCCATTCTGTGCGGTCTGCGGAGCCTGGATTTAGAGAGTTGATTTTTCAGAGTCAAGAGCGTAGTGCGGCCGCACACCATTTTGTGCGGTCCGCACTGACCTTGCAGGGGCAATTTTGTCCAGTTTTTCCAGCTTAGTATAAATAGAACATTTTTCCATTTTTAGGGTATCAGATATTAGAATACTGTAGTTGCACTTATGAGACGATATTTTTTAGCCATTTTTGGCATCTTTACTTAGTTTTAATCATTGAAACTTTGTATTTACTTTAGTAATTAATTAACATGTCTTTCTCAATATTTTGACCCCAGCAGTCAACCAATCAGGAACGGTACCTGGGATTGCCAGGTACTGAGCTAACCATGGACGGACCTCCTCGCCCATCTCCAACTTCGCCATGTACAAAGTTTCATCCTCCTCATTGAAGCCCAAGTATTCATCAAGGTATTTCCCGTCAAACATCACTGTCTTATTACAAACCTTGGTCACTTTGGATCCCTTTTTGATGTGGGCTACATTGCAATAAAATTCCTTGACCATGTGTTCGTTGGCATCTACACACTTCTCCATAAACAGTTCCCAACCCACTCTAGTTCTGAATTGTCTCTGCACGTCAGGGTTGTGGGGTAATAGATCATTGTCAATGAAACTCCGCTCCGGTATCAACTTTTTTACCGGCCACCACTCCCTAAACTTGTGGTACGCCACCTGGCTCACAAAACGATCCTCCCAAACTTCGGGCTTTCTAGTTCGGGCAATGCCTCCCACCTGAGGCTCACCACCTTCAGCTATCTCCTCATCTCCTTGTACCTCCTCCTCATTTCCGTCTGCACCCTCCCCGGATAATGAAGCTGTGGGGGAGGTGGAGTAGTTACCACTGCCGGCTGCCGAGCCCGAAGACGACTCAGTGGGAATATGCTCTAGTGCTTGGGCAGTGGGTGATGGTGGAGTGATATCTCTTCGCCTGAATCTCTCCGGCCAGTCTTCAACATATTTTGGCACGGAGTCTGAAGAAATTTCCCTTGATGGTTGATACTCACTCCCCGAGGAATGGGAAGCAGCTCTGTCTACAACTTTGATTATTTTTCTGGTCTTTTTTATGTTTTCCCGAGCTTGGGGAGTGAGTTTTATCATCTTCTTCTTCCCTCCCCGGGAGGGTTCTCCTCTGCCCGGTTGTTTACCCCTTTGTCTCACCATTGTCTGAAATCATGGTTAAAACAGCTTGTTAGTATTAGTGTAATCATTTAAGAGTAAAGTAGCAGAAGGAGAACAAGAATTGTAACAGATATATTGCAGAAGTACCCAGTGCAGACCGCACAAAATCAACTGCGGCCGCACTGGGGCCACCGCGGACCGCACAGAAATGACTGCGGTCCGCACAAGTGGGGGGTTCCAAAAACAAAGTCTCTAAATCTCAGCAGTGCGGACCGCACAAAAGCAACTGCGGCCGCACTGGGGCACCGCGGACCGCATAGAAGTGACCGCGGTCCGCACAGGGTGCCCATTTTTGGCACTAAACTAGGGTTCATCAGATTATGCAATTAAGGTCGATTTGGTCCCTAATTTATGTCCCTGAATGTTTACCCAGTCTATTAAACTAACAAGGTATGAAAAAAAACTAACTATCCTAACCTAACAATTTAAGAAAATACGGGAGAAGGAGAAAATAAGAACTAAGAAAAATGAAAATTAACTAAACTTGACCAAATTAACAAGTGAAAAGGAAGATTGATGTACCAGATATTGAGATGAATTGAATCAAAGCAAAGCAAGCAAGCAATTACGATCAAAGGAGAGGATGAACAGTGTTTAATTACTGTGAGGTTCAAATTCGCGAAAAGGGTAAAAGGAGGCCCTCGAGGTCTATTTATAGAAAAAACCCTGGGGCCCATGCTCACCTACCAGTGCGAACCGCGCAAAATGGACCGCGGTCCGCACTGGGCTGTTATGTACAAGTTTGAGAAGGCAGCCCTCTGCGGTCCGTAGAAAATGGACTGCGGCCGCAGAGGCCCACTGCGGACCGCGCAAAATGGACTGCGGCCGCGGTGGCAAACTTCAGAGAGCATTTGTAACACCCTTGACCAGTGCGGACCGCACAAAATGGTAGTGCGGCCGCACTGGAAACTTTAAAGACCTGTGCAATTTTTCAATTATGTCCTGCACTGTATCAACTCAATCTTGTAACATCGCACAACCAGTTTGCCCAAAAATCAACCCTATACTACAAAGAAAATCAAAGAAAACAAGAAGAAAAACACATGCTCCTTCTTGCTTATGCTTTGATTATAAATTCTTACAATATAGTCCCAAAAGGCTCATAAGTTGTACTTGATTGCAGGTTTGATCAACAAAGTGACGAGATGTCAAAGATCGGCTCAAAAGGAGTGAAACCTGCACAAGTACCAAAGACAAGACAACTCAGGACAAACAGGCCTAGTGCGGCCGCACTACACTTTGTGCGGTCCGCACTAGGGAGATTCAGAGACCTGGATCTTAAGGCATCAAAGCAGTGCGGCTGCAGTAGATATTGCGCGGCCCGCATTGAAGACACCATGGCCGCACTACCATTTTATGCTATCCGCGGAAGCAAACTACAGAGAGATGTCAAGTGCAAGGGTTCAAGCCTGTGCGGACCGTGCTAGATACCTCTGCGGCTGCAGTCCATTCTGTGCGGTCCGTGGAGCCTGGGTTCAAAGAGTTGATTTTTTAGAGTCAAGAGCCTAGTGCGGCCGCACACCATTTTGTGCGGTCCGCACTGACCCCGCAGGGGCAATTTTGTCCAGTTTTTCCATCTTAGTATAAATAGAACATTTTTCCATTTTTAGGGTATCAAATATTACAGTACTGTAGTTGCACTCGTGAGACGATATTTCTTAGCCAATTTTGGCATCTTTACTTAGTTTTAATCATTGAAACTTTGTATTTACTTTAGTAATTAATTAACATGTCTTTCCCTTCATCTATTTATCTGATTTTATCTTCAAGTATAAGTAGCTAGACCCATTAGCTAGGGTTGTGGCTCAACCCTAGTGTGGGTAATTGATGGGTGTTATAATTTAAGGTTAGATAGATTATGGGTGTTTGTTATTTGGGTCAATTTTATGGTTTAATTTATGAATTAGTGGTTGCAAACACTAGTTTGTGCTAAGTTGACTTGGGCTCTTCTTGAGAAAGAGAGCCTAAGTCTCCAAAATTGACTCAACAAGGAATTGGGATGGACTCAAGAGATTTGATAGTCCCAATTAAAGGGTTAAACCTCGAGAGAGTAATTACCCGACTTGAACCCTAGTTGCTCGGGCAATTATGCACACCTAATTGGTCTCGAGAGAGTCAATTGGGCAAAACCACTCTTTCTACCGAGAGGTGTAGAGTGGGTAGTATTGAGCAACGGTTATAACATATTTCCCCAATCATGTCAATCGTGCCTTAGATGCAATTACCCGTCAATTAGCCACCTAGGTGAAGGTCACTACCCTAGTGCCTTTTTAAACCATTAGATACAACTTGTAGCAACTTACTCTTAGCTTAATCTAGTTGCATTTTCAATTAGTAGTTTAATTATAGTAGAATATAAAGAAAACCCAAAAATTATGAGAAGACCAATTAAGAACACACACGCAATCCTAAGCTAGATAGATACTCGACTCCAATCCTAGCTCTCTGTGGATTCGATCCCGACCCAAAATCGGGTAAAAGCTATTGCGACCCTCTCTTTCTACTTTTTAGTAGTGCGGAGTTGGCTGCGATCGGTTGCACAGGCACATGTACTTCTATTGGCCTACTGGGCGTAGCAGCATGGATGATATTGGGACTAGGTGAGCTGCATTACTCGAGGCGACCCGCAGCTAGTATAGTCTCTTTCAGTGTATTGTATTTATTTTCTGTCCAACTGTATTTCCGGACGGATGTTGTATTGTATTGTTTGTTAGAAGTAGCTCATGCAGTTGTGACACCGGGTTCTGGGGATGTCTATGGGTTTATTCAGAATTTCCAAAGTTGTTAAAGGTTCCATTTTCTTATTCAGTGAAATTTACTATGTATAGCTTAACGTATAAAAGAAGAGATTTTAGAAATATTTAAAACGAGAATTTAATTAAGTAATTTGGTTGGCTTGCCTGACAGCGGTGTCCGGGGCCACACGACCCTTAGTGGATTTTGGGTCGTGACATTAAAGGCCTATGACAAATGGGTTAAGGCTGATGAGATGGAACGATGTTACATTCTTGCCTCTATGGCGAATGTTTTGCAACATTAGCATGAGTCTATGGGGTTTGCTTAACACATGCTCGAAAGTCTCAAAGAGATGTTCGGTGAGAAAAATCGTACGGCTAAGCAGACAGCAATGAAAGCCCTTTTGAACACCAAGAGGGCTGAAGGATCATCGGTCAGGGACTATTTTCTGAAGATGATGAGTCTTCTGAATGAACTGGAGGTCCTTGGAGCTGTGATTGATAAGGAGTCTCAAGTTGAGATTGTCCTGCAAACTCTGCCTGACAGTTTTCAACAATTCCGCTTGAACTATAATATGAACAAAATGGATTTGTCACTAGCGAAACTGTTATGAGCTGCAAGTGGCAGAATTTATTATCAAACAACAAGCTCCAGTTGTGGCACTCAATGTTGAGAAAGCTTCAGTTTCTAAGTCGAAAGGCGGTAAGAGAAAAAAGAAGGCTCAAAAGGTTTTGGCACCTGGAGGTGCAGCTGGTGTGAAAAAGCCCAAAAGAAAGTGCTATCATTGCAAGCAACCTGTCATCACAAAAAGCAATGCCCTGCCTATTGGGCAAAGTTGAATAAGCAAGGTAATTCAAATTTAAATGTCGTTGAAACTTGTTTAGCGGCTGTTTCTACCATATTTTAGTGTGTAGATTTGGGAGCCACTAATCATATCTGCATTACTTTGCAGGGGTTTCAGGAAACGCGGTAGCTAAGTGAGAATGAAGTTTGCGTTTTTCAAGCCAATGGCGAGCCAGCACCAGCTTTAGCATTTGGAGATATTAGAGTTTCGTTTAGTAGTGATAGAGTTTTAGTTTTGAAAGATGTTCTCTATGTACCTTCTATTAGAAGGAATTTGATTTCGGTTGCGAAAATAATGGATGCTGGTTATAATATTTATTTGCTAAAACTCTGCTGTTATTAAGTTTAATAAATGTTTTATCTACACTGCTGCCAGAGTACATGACCTTTTTATTCTTGATATATCTCCTCATGTGCTACAACAACCAAAAGAATTAAATAACATTAATCTGCCACATAAAAGAAAACGTATTTCTAAATTGAGTCAAACCTATTTGGGGCACTTACGTCTAAGTCATACAAATCTAAATAGGATTTCGAGATTAGTCTCTGATGGACCTTTGAGTTTATTGAAAGTGGAGTCGCTGCCAACATGCTAATCCTGTTTAGAAGGTAAAATGACCAAGAGACATTTTCCCTCAAAAGGAAATAGAGCCAGCGATAACTTAGAATTAATTCACTCAGATTTGTGTAGCCCTATGAATTGTCACGACCCAAAAATCCCTCCGAAGGAGTCGTGATGGCACCTAGTCTCTAAACTAGGTAAGCCTAACATTAACTAAAATAACATTGATATTTACTAACTTTAAATTAAATTACTCTGAACAAATAACAATTCCCAAAACCGGTGGTACAAGTCATAAGCATTTCTAAGAGTAATTATAAAAAATAAATACAACACTGTTCCAGAACGAGAAGGACCGAATGGAATGTAAATACAATCGAAGGTGACTCCGAGGCCAGTGAAAGCATCAGCAGGTTACCTTGAATCTCCACCGCGACGATCCGCACAGCTACTATCGATCAATTCTTGGATCTGTACACAAAAAAGTACAGAAGTGTAGTATGAGCACACCACGGCGGTGCCCAGTAAGTATCAAGACTAACCTCGGCGGGGTAGTGACGAGGAACAATCAAGACACCTACTGGTCAGACAGATTAAACAGGATATGATAACAAATATCAAGATGAAAGTAACGAAATAATATCAACAGCAGGGATAAATCAATCTACAAACAGTCGAAATAATAAAAGGAAACTCCGATGGAAATGAAAGATAACCAAATAAATAAACACAAACATAGCTGGAACACAGAGAAGTAGAATGAACTCAAGTAAGGAAGACAATGTCAACTCAATCAATCATATCGTTTCTGGTGCACAACCCCAGCTATCTCAGAACTCGATGTCTCATATCATAACCTCAACTTCCAAACCTTTAGCACACCCGGCACCTTGTGCCCACATATTTTGTCTCACTTTGTACAACCACGTTCTCATGTTACTCAGTACATAGGACCCATAACTAAATTAAGATGTTCCAAGAGTCTCATTTACATAACATAAAGTAGGGTACAGCTTCTAAACCAATTAGGAACTCAGCAAGAAAAGATGAAGTTATTTTTAGAAATCATTTGAATAAAGAAAGTACCATTTTCAATTTAAAATACCACATCAAATGAATTATTACCTTTAACATGGGATTTAATAAATTATCTTAGTAGAAATTTCTTTTTAAGTAAATTACAACTTCAGACGGTTTAAGGGAATTTAATTGAGTAACTATTTGAATTAAAAATGTGAAATTTTTGAAATTCGAAGTATTGAAATATGTATATATAAATACGGCGAGGTATTGAAAACACTATGAATTCCAACACAAAGGATCACAGTAGTAAAGGAATCTAAACAGTTAAAGCACTTGAATTGATAACAACCAATAAACACAGCAAACAGAAAGTGCACGGCATCACGCTTCGTGCTTTAACTCTCAATCCTCACCATGCAATCAATATTCACTTTTATTCTTTCTTGTTGCGGCGTGCAACCCGATCCCAATCAAATAATACTGTTGCGGCGTGCAACCCGATCCAAATCATATAATGATGTTGCGGCGTGCAACCCAATCCAAATCATATAATGATGTTGCGGCGTGCAACCCGATCCAAATCATATAATGATGTTGGGCGTGCAACCCGATCCCACCCATCCACCCTTATTACTCCTTGTTGTGGCGTGCAACCCGGTCCCATATAACATTGTTGCGGCGTGCAACCCGATCCCATATAATAGTATTGCAGCGTGCAACCCGATCCCATATAATATTGTTACAGCGTGCAACCCGATCCCATATAATATTGTGGCGGCGTGCAACCCGATCCCAATATATAAATCAACACCAATCATAGAAGAATCCCGACGAGGGAACAATTGTATGACAACAATATCCCGGCAAGGGAAACAATATCATAAGCAATAACATCCCGGCAAGGGAAACAATATCATAAACAATAACATCCCGGCAAGGGAATCAACAATAGAAACAAATACATCCCGGCAAGGGAATCAACAATAACCAATCTCGTTCTAACAATTAACTTCAGAAAATGAATCCCAACTTGAGTCAATACTCAACACGGTCAAATACAAAGGAATTACCATAAGCCTGGTCCAACATGAATACTCATCAAGTCAAGCATGAATAGTACATAATAAGGATCACGAGAAAAAAAACCAAGAAGCACACTAACCTTAACAAAGCAACAAGACATAATAAGCATGTGATAATTACATTGGTAACCACAACAAATGGACATGTAACATATTTGCACGAATTCATAGGAATTCACAATCAAGAAGTATCAAAACAATAAGGAAGGCAATCACTTCAATTAAGGCAATTGGGGGTCAAGTAACACGTAAGAATTAGAGGAAAGCTAGCAACATCATATGGAGCATATAGAGGTAACTTAAGCAATTAGGAAACTCAAGCATGACGGAATACTTTGCAAATAATGAACATAAGGACCTAAGAACCCTAGAGGCAAATTTCCCACAAATAAGTCCGAGCACACACTCGTCACCTCGCGTGCACGGACTACAATTAGCATAGAAGACTCAAACCCTAAGGGGAAGTCCCCCACACAAGGTTAGGCAAGATAATTACCTCAATCCGGCCAATTCAATACTCAATTTAGCTTTTCCTTTACCATTTCATCAATGCCCGGCTCAATATAGCCAAAAACAACTTGAATACATCAACCAATGCAAGAGAAAATAATTTCAATCAACAAAACTATGATTCTTATACAATTTGCAAAAAGTCAATAAAAGTCAAATCCCCGGGCCCGCACCTCGAAACTCGACAAAATTTACAAAAAACGAACACCCATTCCGCTACGAGTTTACCCATATAAAAATTATCAAATTCCAATACCATTTGGTCCTTCAAATCATCATTTTACATTTTTGAAAAATTTCACAATTTTTCCCAAATTTTCCTTTAGATTCTCATGAATTTGATGTTAAATCTAAGATATAATCACAAAATATAGTTGGAAATTGATTAGAGACACTTACCCAATGATTTGGTGTGAAAATATTCTCTCAAAATCGCCTAATCTCGGACCTAGGGTTCAAAAATATGGACAAATGAAGCTAAGTGCCGAAATGGGGACCATAATACCATCCTCATATGTCGCATTTGCGACATCAGATCGCAAATGAGACATAAGTATCACAGATGCGAAGGCTGGCCAGCTCTGATCAGGTCGTAAATGCAACCCAAGTCTCGCAAATGCGAGCCTTGAGATGTTCGCAAAAGTGACGGCTTTATCGCAAATGTGGAGCTGCTGGTCGCAAATTCGAGGAATTTGTTCGCAATTGCGAACTCCCCTGCCCCCAGCCCAGCGTCGCAAATGTGAGAAGAATATCGCAATTGCGTTCATCGCAAATGCGAGAACTGACAGCAGAAACCAGAAGTTTTCTTCCAAACACTCTGAAACGTTTCCAAAACTCATCCGAGACCTCGAGGCTCCAAACCAAACACCAACACATGTCTGAATACGTAACACAAACTCACTTGCGCGATCAAAAAATCAAAAGAACTTCTAGAACCACGAATCGAATGCCAAAACGCATGAAAATCGCTATGAACTTCAAGAACTTCTAGAATTGCAACCAAGCTGCCGAACCATATCAAATCAACTCCAAACGACACCAAATTTTGCAGGCAGGTCCAAAATGACATAACAGAGCTGTTCCAACTTTAGGGATCGCATTCCGACCTCAATAACACAAAGTCAACTATGGGTCAAGCCTCTCCATTTTTCCAAACTTCAACTTTTCCAACTTTAGTCGAAATGCCTCAAATTACCCTGCGAGCCTCCAAATCCAAATCCGAACGCACGCGTAAGTCCAAAATCATCATACAAAGCTACTGACATCATCCATAACTCATTCTGGGGCCATTTACTCAAAAGTCAAATTTAGGTCAAACTCTCACCGCTTAAGCTTCCAAAACTAGATTCCTTCTTCCAATTCGACTCCAATTCATCCAAAAACAGATTCCAACCATGCACGTAAGTCCATATACATAATATGAAGTTACTCGTGACCTCAGACTGCCAAACCGGACGCAATTGCTCAAAACGACCAGTCGGGTCGTTACATGAATATACAAGCAAGAGGTGGTTTTGAGTATTTTGTGACTTTTACAGATGATTACTCAAAATATGTATACATTTATCTGTTGCGCCGTAAGTCTAAATGTTTTGATAAATTCAGGAATTTAAGACAGAAATGGAGAAACGACATGATAAATATATCAAAACATTGCGATCTGATCGTGGTGGTGAATAATTTTCTGCGGAATTCATTAAATACTTATCAGATTATGGAATTACATCTTAATTATCTACTCCAGGAATACCACAACAAAATGGTGTGGCAGAAAGAAGAAATAGGACCCTTATGAAAATGGTTAGATCAATGTTAA